TTATTTATCCAAGGCAAGGTATTTGCCTGCATGAGCAGACTTCCAAACAGAAACTGCCACTGGTGTATTGGTATTTGTAGGTTTACAAAGCAATCTCACTTCATTAAGCAAAGCCTCCCACTGTGTGTGTGTATTACGTATCTGTTGATCTGTGTTTTGTCAGTTGAGGAGATTGATCTTAAACATTGTCATTATTCTCCTCTCTTCCTTCCTCCCTTAATGTAACTGATATCTATCCACAGTGGCTGTGGTGTCATTGCTTCAGGAGTATTTCTGCTGGGTGTGGACAGTGTAGGGATGGGGCACACAGGGTCAGTTCTGTGGTTCTGTTCATGCACTGCTTGAAATGCAGTTACTGTGCAAGAAAAATAAACCAAGAAACATTTTCAGATTACCATTACACTTGAGTGTTTCTGTCTTTAATTATTCTAATTCTAATTGACATTTTTAATTAGATTGGAAGCAAAACTCCATTGGATATAGTGAGTAAATGAAAAGCAATTGCATGTTGTGTATTTTTATTTAAACTTCTTAGTATTTTGCAAATCCTTGTATTCACTCTGGTGAAGCCTGAGGAAGAAGAATCACAACTCTTAACCAGCATGCCACATACTTGAAGCAATTGCATGTGTGCTGCTTCTGCTTCCATTGGAATTCCTTCTTCCTGCTGCTTGCAGGCTCCAGCTTTGCTCAAGGCTGTTGCTGCTCCTCTGTCAGTCTTAGGAGCTGTGAGTCCAGTGCACGTACCTGCCTGGCATGACACTTCCCTGGATGTTAAAGTAACCTTGCATTTGGTAACGTGAAATGGAACCACACTTGGCTGTTTTCTGGAAGTTTGTGGCCAATTTTAAAGTGTTTTGGAGAAGAAATGTAAATTACATGGCTTCAAGCAAGCTTGAATTTAAAAAGTACTTGTGTATGTTTCAGAGTAGAGGCTCAAATGAGAGGAGAGTAGCAAAAATAACACTGAAATGCACATTTTAAAAATTGACTGTCACTGTATTTCACCAGTCCTCAAGTTTTCTATATAAAGAGGAAACTTCCAATAATTTCTCTAAATATAAGCCTTCCTATACCTTTTGCACACCTGTATGATTTGCAAAAGTTTCTTTGGCTAAGAGAGACCTTAAAGCAAAGTGTGAGGTTTTACAGAACCTCTGAGGTAGAATTTCTGCCAGAAAGAAATATGATATATGTGATTTGAGTGTGAAAGTCCCAGGTTCAATTCTCTGCTCTGACTGACAAAGGAATTGGACTTCTGCATCCCAAGGAGTAACCAACATATTACACAGGCTGGTACTGGGGGTGATCTCTCACTCTCATTTGGAGCTGTTCTGCATTGTTTAAACACTCACTGGGTGACAATCACCTGTCCCTATGACCCACTGAGTATGGCACTCCTATGGCTTAATATGAAATGATTTTGTATGGAGTGGAAGAGCTCCAACAGCAGATCAGTGCCCCAGCTGAGAACAGCCCAGGGCCTGGAGGCCTGCTTGAGTTTCAGATTTAGATATGTTTAAAGACCTGAACAGTGTCCTCTTACATGCCAGGTAAGTGTCCTGTTTGCATGGTAGTGACTGTTCTGCTGGGTATTGGATACTTAAACTTGGTACTGGAGGAGTTTCACAGAGCTACTAACACATCTCTTCAGGCTAAGCCTAAGCTCTTGTGAAAATACTCCTTGCTTAAGTTAATTTACCTTCACCCATATCTGTGCATGTGAGTAAAATTGATGTCTGTACTGATGAATTGGATTTTTAAAGCCTGATCTTAGGAAAGCATCAGCACTAGGTTAAGAGGCATATTGGTTTTAACCTGATCAAGTGAAAATAATCTGATCATGTGTATTTATGAATATGGAGGGAGCTTACAGGATTGCTTGTTCCCCTGAGGATGTATTTGTGCCACTTTTGAATTTTTCATCAATTAGGACTAATTCTGAGATTTTAAAATATACTTCCCTGATTGAGATAAAGTAGTACAGAGGTTCATTTTACTGCTCTTTTCTGTATCATCAGAAACAACTGAGGAGCATTTTCAATCTTGTCCTGGCTACTTGCTGGAAAAGCCTTTATCTAAAAGAAGCTGCTGGTGGCATGTTTTCCCAGAGCAGAGACAATTATCTGTTGCAATTTATCAGGAAATATGAGATGCAAAGTGACACCTAGCTCATATATTTGTATTCAGTTCTGAAAGTGACATTAAAAATCGTGACCAGTTGCCAGTTCTGAATGACCTTGTGAGTGATCAGCAGCATCGCTGCAGAATTGTTCCAGAAGAGCAGAGTCCCAACTATTTCTTTTCTCTTTATTGCCTTTTGATCAGCTCTTCACATGTGTGGATATTTCGGAGCACTGTTAGATTAATAACTTTTCAGAGTAAAGGCCATTTTTAGGATATACACAGCCAATGTAATGCTTTGCCATTTTACAATTAGCATGAGTGGCAGCAAACTGCAGGGGTTCACCAGCAGTACTGCCAGTGTGTGTGCTGGAATGTCAAAGCTGCCCTAATAAAACAGTGAAACTCTCCAAGTCCCTTTAACTTCAGTGCCAGTTAGCACAAACCTGGGACATAACTGAAATGGCTGTGCCTGGAGGTGCCTGTGCATGATGGCTTGGACAGCATCACACATTCTGTTCTCTTTGAGGGTCTGAGATACTGCCCATTGTTTCACTGTCTATGGCTTGGAGTTTCTTTTGACTCTTGCTTTGAAAAGTGCAGCTTAAACCTTTTATGCATGATGAAAGTATTATCTCTTTTTCTGCTTAATGGTAATTTTAAATTACTGACATGCTCCATGAAGCTGCTTTTGGTTTTTTGGTTTTTTTTTTTTTTTTTTTTTTTTTTTTTTTTTTTTTTTTTTTTTTTTTTAATACCAGAGCTGAATTTTAGAATATATTATGAGGACAATCATAGGAAGTATCCTGACATATCTGAATGAAGGGGGGAACCCACACTGTATCCTGCTATAGAGTCATTTATTGTAACCACAGAATAAAATCAGGCAGTAAATCCTCTTATGCCTGTAAATACCCTTACTGCACAAATGAAATGGTGTGAACTGTAAAAGTTATTCATCTTCATGCTGAACTAGGGAAGAGAAGAGTTTATAATAGCAACCTTGTAGTGCTGTTAGTTTGTAAGTCTAGAACTGAATAATTGATGTTTTATCTTAGTCTGCACCTCCCAAAGCATTCATGTTCCTGTTTCTGAGGCTGAAGAAGACTTCACAAAATTACTGACAGTATTAAAAGATGCTGTTACAGGAAGTGAAAGGGTCGTGCTGGGAATTCCCAAGAGGCAGAAAGAGAAGAAGGGTACCCTTGCCTTCAGAAAGGTTCTGACCTGCCCACAGGGAGGAGTGCCCCTCTCATGCAGGGTCTTTGCACAATTCTGACATCCACCTGAAATCTGTGGCAGTCAGTACAGAAAAATGCAGTCTGCTACAAGGCAAACTTGTAAAGTCTCAAAAAATAAGAAATGCAGTATGCTGGGACATTGTCCAGTCAGCCATCAGTAACAATAAACTGTTGGTAATTGATGCTTATTTGTCTGTCTTTGGTGAAATGCTGCTCCACAGGCAGGGATGGATTGCAGCACAGCAGACACGCTGGGATTGCTCTGTGAGCTCTGTGGGATTTAAGCTTCCATGGCTGACAGGACAAATGATTCTGAATGATAAATTTACCTTTCTAAAACCAGATGCAACTATGGATAGCTTCTTCCAAGTATAATGGAACTAGAGTCCCCCAAGGACACACTGTTCTATGTGTTATTATAGCAAATATATGTAATTTGGTATAAAAGCATCCATAGAACTATAGAAACACTGGTGAAACTGGGGGATTTCTTGGTGACTTGGACTTGGTATTTTTTATCTCTTTGTACATTATGTTTATCATTCAAGTGACTTAATTGTTAAAAAACGATGCTTGACAAGGAATAGCAAAAAAATGATTAGTGCTGTGTCTTTTATCTTCCTCTTCTTGTTCTCCTTTATAAATTCTCCTCTTGCAGTGTGTGGCTCTATTTATGAGAGCTTCCAGGTTTGCCGTCAAATGCGTGTTTGCACTTGACTTTATGATGGAGATATTCAGCCTTATGACTAATAAGCTCATTAAGCCTGGTCTGCACCAGCCTAAGCTGCTTTGACTAAGCCATGGAGATGCCTTTTGTGAGGGGCTCTCCAATCCCACAATTTGTGCCTTTAGAGCCTTAATTCTGTCAATTTTCTGTGTGGTTTTTTTTTCATCTATTTGAAAGGCAATTATCTGCCTTGTTCCTGGAGATTTTGGAGCCTTCTGACAGGTGAAGGGAAGTATTTACTTGTTATTTTGACCCTGGAATTTCAACATGTGATGATAAATGTAATTAAAATGATTAAATTAGTCTGCTGTGCTGGCCTCATGGACAGAGACTAAAGGCCAGTATCAGGTAGGCAGGGGAACAGGCTTAGTGCTTGGGTTTGTTTGGTGGGATTTTTTAGCTTGTTTACTCACTAGAGAAAATCAGATGCATTTGTGTATTCATAGCTGGCTACTGCTTCATCCTGTTCACAGCTCTCTTATATAAGAGAAGAACAGTGTTTTAACTGGAGGTGGTTCTGCATGGCAACACCAAATGCATTTCTTCTGCCCCAAACCTACCAAGAAACTGGTGGGAGGCTTGATTTTTTTTTTCTTCCTCTTAGCTGCAGGGAAGTGTTAAAATTTGCATTACCTGTTAATACACATGCCTACTTCTTGCTTATGATTGGTATTTTTATCAACACATAATCCTGACATATTGCTAGGCACAAAATATACAAGAAAATTAAGTTACTGCTTAATTTTTTAGCTTTTCCATAGGATTCAGATTATTGGCCTTGTTGAATAAGAGATTTGTAATATCTTATGCATTATTAAGGCTAATTTTTATTTCAGTTTGATTTTGGATAAATTTATCATTGATACAGGTCTATTGGAGACTAAGTTGTTACACCAAAAGTTCAGGGCTACATCAGTGTTAGGAATATGCCATCATCTTGCAGCACAGGCAAACCCCCTGGAGCCTTTCATGGTCTCTTTGGAGAATTTTCCATGTTGTCATGGCCTAAAATTGTCCAGATTGTCACAAAAACTTACACACTTTCTTATTTTTCAGTCTTTTGATTAATTCCTTAATGTCTTAAAAAAACCCCAGAAACCAAACCAGACAACCAACCAAACGAAAAACCTTGAAAAAGACTGAAAAATGTACTTGTAGCCTTAGAAACATTACAAGTCAGTTTTAGTTGACTGTCATGCTTTTTTTAATACAGTCTCCCATTGGTGATTTTCTGTAAAATGCTGATTTCCAGTCCCAAAGGCTTTTGGAGACTAATTCTCAGTAATTATTAAGCAAAAGGCCATGCACATGAGCAGTGCCACTCAACAAATATTGAGTTGTCAGTAGCATTCTCAACACTGTGTATGATTTTCTTTGCAGCCTCAGCTGGATAAGTTGTCAGGGTTCGTGTTCTGTTGTGGAGTGGTGCTTTTCCATAGCTCCTCCTTCTAGATGGATGGAAATGTCCTTGGTTTTAAGCTGTAAAATGAAGAGGATTATACAAATTTGTTACTAGATATTACTGGATGTAATTACTGGATGTTCAGGGACATGTTGCATTTTGGAAGACTGTCATTGCAGGAGCAGATTGTTCTTTCAGTCAATTTTATAATTTATCAGTGATTCACAGCTCAGTTATAATTATTCCCAGTGGTAATTATGTGTCAGAATTACCCAAAACACTGTATCAGACATGGCTTGCACATGCTGTATAATCATGAAACTGAGCTTTCTCCAATGTAAATTTACTGAGGGCTCTATTCCACAAATCCATTGTTTTAAGGGCTCCTTTCTCACCCAAGCAGGCCCCAGGATTTCATGGAAACTAATTAATCAGGGTAAGGATGTTCATGACAAGCTTTTAAACTGGTTTTATAGCTTTACCCTGTGCAGAAAATCTTGAAAATACTTTGCAATCCTTCAGTAATTACTGTGGCCAAAATATATCTTTGCTGATTTATAGCCCATGAAAATTTATCCTGTCTCATGTAAAAATGTTTTAAGACTTTATTTTTTTCTTCCCAGCTTCTGGAAAAAACGAACAATATGTTTGAGGATTCTGATTCCGCAGCTACAAAAAGTCCTTTGCATTTAGCTGTAAGTACCAGATGTGTAAAGCATTTGATCAGTATCTCCTAGAATAGTTCCTTAATCTCTGTCTTTGAAGCAAGTTTAACTGTGGGCTTGTTTTGAAAAAGGTGGGAAGGGATGTAACAAAGCCAGGTTCTGGGCTGGAATAGTTAATGAAGATATAGGCAGCTGAAGCTCGGGGCTCTTCCTGACTCTAACACTTGGGTAAGAAGATGACACAGACACTGAAGTGAAATTAAATGGAAATTAAATTGTATTTTGAACTGGGTTATAAATATGTGTCCAAAGCTGAGCCTAGGCTTTGCTCATGGAATGAGATTCTCTGATGTTCTGGTGGAGAGATGCAGTGCAATAAAACTGTTTGGTACAGTTTTTGATTTCTTGGGTACAGTGTCATTTGGAAAAATCCTTTTATGTTGAAGAGATAGTCATAAGGAATCAATAAAACTGATTTCTGTTGTGTTTAGGAGACATTGAAAGAGATGTATTTTATTTACAGTTTATGGGAAAGGTCTTTGAAAGACAGGAGTTGTGTTCTTTACATGACACATTTCATAATTCTAGGCCTATAATGGTCATCATCAAGCTCTGGAGGTACTTCTCCAATCTCTGGTAGATCTGGATATTAAGGATGACAAGGGACGCACTGCTCTGGACTTGGCTGCATTTAGAGGACATGCAGAGTGTGTGGAAGCTCTCATCAGCCAGGGTGCTTCTGTCACTGTAAAGGACAATGTCACCAAAAGGACGCCCCTCCATGCCTCAGGTGAGTGTGATCTTATGCTACCCTTGTGGTATAAACCCTCCCACACTGAAGCAGGTACATTTACTTACCTGCTGTTGCTATGCTCATTTCTTCTAAAGGGAGGAACCTTCTCACATGTCCTGAGGAGTGATACGTCTTTGCTGATGTTGTACATTTAAACCATTTTTAGACTGTTTCATTCATCTATTTTTCCTCTATCCCCTGTGGTTCAGTTCTCCCTCATACAGAATTCCATATTTTTGCATAGCACTACTGCTCTGCCCTTACCTGCTTTGCCTCTCTCTGTTACCGCCTACTCTTCAGGAGGTGTGATGTTTCCCTCATGACACCTTCTCTTGCTGCTTCTTCAGCCAAATAATCAGGGGAGGAGGGGACACTTGCCTTGTTGCTTCTCCTTTGGAAGAAAGGTTGAAAAATAGAAGTGGGCTCTGACTATCAATGAAAATATTCTGGTGTTTAAAACTTGCAACCATTTGCAGTGGCAACACCACAGAAATTCACCCCCCTCTTTCAGGCTCCCCTCCTCCTGAGCCAGCCTGTGAACTTGCACTTGCTGGCAGCCTGCTCCTTTCCTCATGTGTGGGGTGTTAATTATGTAACATGCAAAATGAGCTGGGAAACGTGGACTTTGTCATTTATTTGAAGGTTATTATTTGACAGGTACCTGTCAGGTAAATATGCAGAAGTGCCAAAGGGAACGTGTCTCCTCTGCTGTTCCAGGAGGGGCTCAATACAGGGCAGCAGTGGCCTCTAGTGGGAAGGAAAATTAATACCACGTGGATAATTAATTCAGGACCAGGCTTAGTCTTTCTGCTTATCTTTTAATCTTGCTGAAATGCATATATATATTCTGTAGTATCAGTTTATTCTCTGTGTGTGATCATGTAAATGGAACCTCGAAACATGAGGTCAAATAGACTTAGCAATTTGGTCTGCAGTACTAAAGGCTCGTAGTAGACCCACACTGCATACTAAAAATGCTTCCTGTCTGCTTAAACTTTGCATCAGAACTCAGCACATTTCTCCCCATGATAAAAACTGATGGTTTAATTAATTGAAATCAATATTAGTGTTACCACAAAACTGAGCTATGTTGGTCAAGAGTTTTCCCTGTAGTTACTTCAAATGTATCTTGGGATCTGATGTGACCACGGTCTGACTCTGTCTGGTATGTCATCACTATGGCAAAGATTTGCATTTATTTAAAAATGGGTCACAGTGACATAAGTTTCCAGTTGTCACAACGGAACTGTAAAGGTTCTTCAGTACTGAGAAAAGTGAATGGTAACAAAGCCATATTTTTGTTAACAGTTCTGACTTAAAATACTAATCTGTTGAATAAATCTGTTGAGTAAATTGAGTAAATTTGTTGAATACAAGATGTTATTTTAATACACATCTTTATTACCTTCATATAAATTCAGATTGTGTTCCCCCTGCCCCCTTTTAATTTGTTTTTTAATCAATCACCTCCATCACTGTAGTACTGAGTGCCTTCCATGTAAAACCAGCAGGAAGAGTCATTGCAGACTTTTCTGGTCCATTATGCTTTTTGCTTCTCAGACTAAAAAACGTTCCCAGGAATGCAAATAAATTGTTGTTTAAATTTGCAGTGAAGCAAAATAAGTCAGATATGTATTAAAAAGAAGCAAACAAAAACCCACATATTCAAAAAGCCCAACCAAGAAAAAAGGAAAAAAATCCTAGCCAGGAATGAGGCACAAAAGGGAACATGTACCTTTGAGCAGAATGGAAAGTAATGCACAGATGGGGCTAGTATTTGAACTCCTTAGTAAAGGAAATTCGCTGGCATGTATTTGAAAGCTTTCAAATGTAAGTTAAGTGCACTTCGGGTAAATATTCATGAAGACAACGTTTAGAACCCTCCACTCAAAAGCTCTGCAGAGTTCTGTGGGAATGATCTCTGGAGTAAAGCTCGCACCACCACCTGCTCCAGACATCCCCTTGCAGAGTGGCCGTTTCCATGCTGCCATTCCCTAGGGAAGCACTTTGGTGAGGAGTGTTTGAGCAGGGCTGGTGCCGCCTGCCGGGAGCTCGCCTGCGGCTGCCGCACGCTCAGAGTCTGTGTGCTGCAAGTGTGGGAGCTCAGGTGGTTCCTGCTGGGAAATCCAACAGAATTCTTGCTGAATTATTCCCTGGCGTGCCAGCGTGCACTTGCACGCACAGAATGAGCACTTGCAGGTGCAGTAGCGTGCACTGGGCAGAAACAAGAAGGCAATGTGTGCCCATCCCCTTCAGCTTGTTTGCCCTCATTCCTTCTCATTGCACCGGCACAGCTGCTGAACACTGAGCTCGGGAGGCCTCAAGTGGTGGGTTGGATGACAGAATTCTGCACGTTTGTGTCAGTAAAGGGATTTGTGACTTGAGAACTCACCTAATGAAGTGTTTCTTTTTTCTGTCTGTCCCCATGAAGTAATAGACTTCCTCTGGCCTCATAACACAGAGAATTTGCTTTGCCCAAATGATATGTTCCCTGTGTAATTTCATTACCACCAGCCTCTCCTCTGGCTAGCCTGGGGAATCCATTGCAAGTGTTCCCCTGGTGTTAGCATTGTGGTCTGTTGGCAAAACTAACGTTCCCTACAGGTTCTGTAATGCTTAGCCATCACTGGGTCAGCTCCTAGGAGTTTCTGGGAGTATCTGTTCTAAAACTCATTTACCAAAATCATTTTCACACATCTTTGTGAACAAATTATGATTTCTCCTCCTCCTGCTGGGAGAAAGAACAGACCTTTATTTCCCCATCGCAAGCCAGACAATCACCAGCCCTGCAGAGCTGTTTACATGTTATGTATATGTCATTACTTAGTGGTAAATAAGTAAAAATGCTTTTTATTTTTCTGGGTAAATCAACTAAGATTATTTTTGGATGAGTAATTTAAATGTGATGATGTGCACCGGTTTCTCTGCCAGCATGATGTGACATAGGTGGTGTCCAAGGGTTTTGCCTCAGCCCACTGGGTGTAGGCAGTGTGAATGCATGACTTGCTGTAATAAGAACACAACGTGTATCTACTGAGCACAGGAATTGTTTTTCAAAGAAGAAAATATCTGTCTCTTCACCATGAAAGTATGAAGCCTTAAAGCCAGCTGACACACAGATGGGGTTCAGTGTCAGGCCCTACAGAATGCAAAATTACAGACTCAAAGCTGTTTCCTAGCAGCAGTGGGTTACATAAAAAAACCCAAAACAACAAAACCCAAAAAAACCCCAAAATATCCCCCCTGCAGCAAAATCCCCAAAACCCCAAATACCACTAAACCCAAATGTTTTGATTTGATAAAATGGATAAACTCAGAGGGAATTTTAGTCCCTGGTGTTATGTGCTTTTATGAATATGACATTTGTATCATTGGTCATTCTTTGCAGATTTTTTTTTCATAATAGCACTGAAGTACTCACTTGTACAGTGCACATAAAATTAAGGAGCCTTGACAATGTACTTCCTACTGTGTTCCAACCCTGAGCACAGAAAGCCTTGCCTGCCTGCTCAATCAGCATTTCAAAATCCTGAAATGCTGTTTGCTTTAGTAGAAATCTTCTCAGTAGTGAATATCACAATTTCTGTTTTACTCATTTGGGATTTTTGTATCTAAGAGAACCAATCCTCATCTTCGTGAGGTCGAGGAAAAAACAGCTCACCATTTCACTGGCACAAGTTAAATCAAAGTTAAGGGAATGTTGATCTCTTATATGGTGGAGTATTTTCCTTGTTTATAAGGACATTTCTTATCACTAAGCATTCCAGTGGAAAAGTGTCTGAAATGAAACATAGTTTTTTCCCTTTACAGTCATTAATGGCCATACACCTTGTTTACGGTTGTTGCTGGAAGTTGCAGACAACCCTGATGTGACAGACGCCAAAGGACAGTAAGTTTTCTTTGTGGGCTTTTCTTTTTCAGCTCTGTAATTCAAATAGCATCTCATATTTCTCACAAAAAAGTACTTATTTGAAATACTGTATTTCCTGCACTTCTCCTCATAGAATTTGGCAGAGATTACAAAGTACACATTCAGTTGATGTAAGCCATGTGGAAAGGACTAATCATTAATCTTAGCCTCTGCTTCATACTTTAAACAGTCTTTTATAGATGTTGAGGGCCAGATTCCATAAAAAATGAACAGGCTCCTGAGATGTTTCTATAAAGTCTTCTTCTTTCTCAAACATTGCTATTCTAGGGTTTATTTGGTACATTAGACTGGTGCAGTAGGACACAGTGTTTGTTTGAGGTGACACATGCGTCTGAGACGTTCCTACAAAAAAATTTACTGCTTCTTAAATGGCAGTTATAGAGGGACAGTAAGATATATTTTTAAAGTGAAAATGTGAATGGTTTAAGAAACTTATTTGAGGTGTCTGGAACGTATAATGTTGCACACATAATGTCTGCACATTCAATTTTAAATGGTATTAGTCTGCCTAAAAACAGATGGAGAATAGATCTCTTTCAGAAACAAATGAAAGATATGTTAGTCTAAATTTTAGCTTGAATATTTTCCTCATGTCCCTTCATCCCCTTTAAGCAAATGTGCGGCATTTGCAAAAGAAATACTTTGTGTCATTGTCATCTTGGTAACTAACAAGGACATGCATTCATAAGACTTGGTATTGTAAAACTCTTGTGTCACTGGAGGTGACAGTAACTGTAGGTTATTAAGAGAACAGATTGTCTTGAATGGTGTTGCTCTGTAAACTGCTTACAAGTGGGTTTGTTACTATTTCAGTCGTGGCAGTTGATTGTTAAACATCTTAATAATTTCATTCTAAAGGTCTTCACTTGGGTGTCATATATGAGGATGGGAAAGGAACCGGGTTCATGGGTAGGAATGGAAGAAATGCAGAGCTTCTTGATTTCTCTGTGGAAGTTAGCAGGGACAAATAGTATGCCATTTTATAGCTATGACTGCTCTGGTTTTCTTTTTTTTCCCTAGAACTCCATTAATGCTTGCAGTGGCATATGGGCACATTGATGCTGTTTCTTTATTACTTGAAAAAGAAGCATCTGTAGATGCAGCTGATCTCCTGGGATGCACAGCTTTACATCGAGGGGTGACTTAATTTTTATAATCCTTTATTATTTATTTTGCTGTGACTACAACTCACTTATAAGTGCAGGGATATTTAAATCTAGAGAGCACTGTAAATTATTGAAAACATGACCAAGCATAATGAATGAGATACAAAGCAAGACAGATCTGCTCTTAGTAATGCTCTGCTTTTATTTCCCATTTGCATTAATTAATTAGGCAAAATAATGATTAGACCACTTTTTTTTTTTTCTCTACTTTATAATAGTAGCCATTATTCCTGCACCTGACCAGCTTAAGAATTCTGAAAATAATTTCTTTGAAAGAACTGGCCAGTAGTTACTTTCATTTTTCTTGGAACGGTGCAAGTAAGTTTTTTCTAGAGGCACTGAAACTTGAGGCAGATCGAATCTTTTCTAGTCCAGCTTAGTAAAACTTTCCTAGCTAAGTCTAGCTTCTTACCCAATGTGGAACTGATGCAAGGGATATTTATACAGAACTTTATAACTGCAGTGAATAGCTCAGCAGGTGAGCAAAGGGGCTCTCATCTCTGCCTGCTGAATCCCATCCACACCATTTCATGTTCACAGGTGTCAATCACATTCAGTATTGCCAGGGCAATAATCTGTGTTACGTCAACTTCTTTACTGATTTCTTTGTTACCAGATCATGACTGGGCACGAAGAATGCGTTCAGATGC